CCCGCGTGGGGGCGGCGCCAGCCACAGCCCGGCCCTGCGGCTCGGGGCATTTCCAAACGCAGCGTTCAGCAGCCCGGGATAAGTCCCGAATATTGTCCCCAGGGAAGTCACAGGGAGTCGAGCACACACAGGGGCTTGCTCAGAACTGGACTGGGAACCCCGCAGGGCAACCCGAGGCTCTGGGTGTCTCCTGGCCACCCTGGTCTCACAGAGGAAGTTGGGCTCGTGTTTTCAGAGGCTGCCTGTGTTCCAGTTATTGAAAACTACACCTTTGTGCTGGTGGGTTCTTTTCCCGCAGCACTTCAAGTCTCTGGCGGAGGGGAAGGCGGCCAGGAGCCCCCCGTCCCACGCAGCTTCCCAGGCGGCAGAGGCAGAAGTGCTCAGCTTTACGTGAAGCGACAGCGCCAGCCCCATCTCCTGCCCCGATGGCTGCTGCACACCGCCAAAGTTTGACCAAAGCAACTCACAAGGCAAAGCACCGCACTCCAAAAGACTCCCATGTTTTAGGGACGCTGCTGGGGAATCATAGGGTTAGGTTTGAGCCCGCACGTGTTGCAGATGCTGCCTCATCCCTCCCTTTTGATTGTTCCCAAGGAATGCGACATGACATTCCCTCCAGCAGGAAGCAAGATTCTCCGTGTGACACCTTGCAGACCTGTACAACAGCCCTGCCGAGTGCTACAGCTGCTGGAAATAAACTCCACGCTCAGACACCAAACCGAGTCGCGTACTGTGCGCCAAGGTCTTGCCGTATCCAGGAACCCCCTCTGCCCATTGCTATTAAGCCTCTTTCTCCATTCTGCGCTCGCTGTCTTGCACATATCAGCATCAGAGCTTCATTTCTGCACACTGCTGGGGAATCATAGGGTTAGGTTTGAGCCCGCACGTGTTGCAGATGCTGCCTCATCCCTCCCTTTTGATTGTTCCCAAGGAATGCGACATGACATTCCCTCCAGCAGGAAGCAAGATTCTCCGTGTGACACCTTGCAGACCTGTACAACAGCCCTGCCGAGTGCTACAGCTGCTGGAAATAAACTCCACGCTCAGACACCAAACCGAGTCGTGTACTGTGCACCAAGGTCTCGCCGTATCCAAGAACCCCCTCTGCCCATTGCTATTTAGCCTCTTTCTCCATTCTGCGCTCGCTCTCTTGCACATATCAGCATCAGAGCTTCGTTTCTGCACGTTCTGCCAACCAGCGCTCCGGGAGGCTGGGAGGGGACAGGGCTCTTTGCCTACCTTGTGCTGCATGCAGGTGGCAGCGGGTGACACGGGGCACGTATTCCTTACAGGCTTCAGGTGGGTCCGAGGCTGACGAGAGCAGCCTGTTAAAAGCTGGAGGGCTCCTCCATTTCTGGTTCCCACCGGCTCTTTTCCCGGAATGTGTCAGAGAAGCGAAGGAGGATGAGGAGGAATAAGCCGGACGGTGCCAGGCGAGTTCCTTTATTGCTGCTGGGCAGAGCCCCAGCGCGTGGGCCGCTCTGCGACCCTGCAGCGCCCGGGCTGCCGCCTGCCCCGCGCCGGGAGCAGCTTCGCGGAGCCGCTCTGCGGGCACCGTTGCTGCGTTTGGGTCATGATCTGTTTCTAAAGGGCTTGGGATGGATAAAGACAGGTCTTGGCTGACGGCAGAGCTACTGGGAGCGAATGAGGGGGCTCCTGTCCGCTTGCTGCTCCCGGCACCCCGCGTCGCTCCTGGTCCCCCCTTTCTCCCTCTCGTGGCACCTCCCCGGATCAGGGGGTGTCACCCACGCGGCCCCAGATGGCACCTGGTCCCCGGCATTTTGGAGCATGGGGGATTGGGGCAATGAGAGCGCGTTCTGCCTGAGGACAGGCCCATTGGCAGCTGCACAAACACCAAGCGGGATGCAGGACACCGTGCCAAGCTCTGGATCAGAGGGGTGCGGGAGTCCTCAGCATTAGCCAGGCCCAGGCCTCGGCTGGGAGCTCTGTGCCCGGCGGGCAGCTCCTGCCCACCCAAGGCTCCAGGGTTGCTCCCTTGGGGTTGCTCGCCGGCCCGGCTCACCAGAACCAGCTCCGCTCCGCGGCTCCTCGGCGAGAACGGCCGGGCTCCAGGGCAGGCAGCACTGAGGACGATGGACAAAGCCCAGGAGGCCCCGGAGGCTTGTGCTGCTGCTGGGCTACTAGCCGGAGCGCTGGCACGGCCCCCGGGATGGCCGGGATGCCCGGA